TGTAAGAGCAGCAGTGGTGCCAGTGGTAATTGGAGCACTGGGGGCTGTGACCCCCAAACTGGGAGAGTGGCTCCCAGTTTGGGGAGCCACTCACTCTACATACATACACACACATATATATATATATATATATATATACACACACATATATATATATATATATATATATTTTTTTTTTATATATTAACAAATACAAAGCTGACTAATGGCTTCTCCTTTATTAAACCAGTGCATAACTTTTTTAGGTTTGTGACACAACATTGGACCATGCAAAACACAGATTTGCCTTCAAAAAAGCCTCAGAAGAGAAATATTTATATACTAAAAGTAAACCTGTACATGAAAATTTGTGTTGTTTTTATTAAGTGTTTTTATAGTGTTTTTTGTTGTTGGCATTTATATAAATATACTGCCGTACATTTACACTTTAGTAGGGACAAGAAGGGAGGGAAAAAACGTATAACAAACAATGTATGTCTATTCTATAAAAAATATCTGTACCTGTACAATGGGTCTGTTTTATGTGTTATCTTCTCAGTTCAGAGGGCCCCCTGCTTCTCTTTTCCTAGGGCCCCAAATTTCCTAAATCCAACCCTGCCTTAAGGAGGAGGCCATGTGGGCAACACAGTTAATTATCACAGTTAAATGCATCATGAATTAATCACTATTACAGGGACATGACATCTGTAGCCAAAACACAGAACTGCTATCAGCAGTTTATTTATAAACTGCTAATAGCATGTATTTCCTGAGAAAGAGATGCAGAGAAACCACGTTATGAGCAGTTTATTTATAAACTGCTAATAGCATGTATTTCCTGAGAAAGAGATGCAGAGAAACCACATGTTATGAGCAGTTTATTTATAAATAATCTTTTTTGTTTTTAGTAAAGAACTAAATCTAAGGACTGGATTTCTGATTTAAAAAAATGGCATGCGTGACTAAAAACGAATATTCCTCACACCCAGCAAGGTGATACGAGCTACTTTAACTACAGCCAAACAGCAACTAACCACTTCCTTTTCTCAGCACCTCCTCTGCAGCAACATTTAAAGACAATAATGTTCCAGCCTTTCTCTCACTGTCTGATGGTCATCATGTTCAGCCTGAAACAAGCTGCGCTGCTCTTCATTCAGCTCCTCCATATGAGCTGCTTCTCTGCAAGTACGGTTTAGATTTATATTTGTGATGCATGATGTTTAAACTAAAATGTTCTCATTTGTTTATTTGTTTTCTTCCATTTCAGGGCCTGCCATAAAAGACCACAGAGATGTTCTGGTATCAAGAGGAGATTCAGTTATATTCATCTGCAACATATCCAACTTAGACACAACGTTTATCCTATGGACCAAAGACAGACCTTTCTTTTTTTACTCATTCTACTTTAATCAAACATTTTCAAATTTCTCCTCTAACAGACGGAGAATAGAAGCAAACATGCCGTCTAAGCTTAGTATTGTTAACGTTCAGCATGATGATGCCGGACTTTATACATGCAACATAACTGGTGGTAAAGGCCTTGGCAGTATAACATGGAACTTAACAATACTTGAGACCCAAAACGGTACGTAGATCAGTTACTGAACACTTCTGCAATACATACTGTGATGATTAAAGGTTAAATTGTGTGGATGATCTATTTGTTTATTTCCAGAAATCAGTTTCTCACAGTACGTTACATTCTCACCATCATCTGCCCTGGGGTTGCTTTTATGTTGCACTGTATTAGCTGTCTGCCTCTGTAGGTGAGTTATATCTAATTTACTGCTTGCTGTTCGGTTGAAGAGCTGCAGCTGAGCAGTTGATCATGTTTACTAAAACATTCAGTTATTTTACAACATTGTGTGTCAAATTAGTTTTATATATAAGTTAATTGATCTCTTATTTATTTTTACCCCTTCCATAATTTATGAATAGGATGCAGATATGATTGAAATATTTTTTTACACCCAAAAAACTGGATTTTAACATTTAATCTTTCCACATCGCTGGAAATAATGTTGATTTATTTTAGAATATGAATAATTAAAATGCA